CCCCACAGGCCTTGGCTCGGGGCTCCCCCTGCCCTCCTCCCCCCTTCTCAGAGTCTGACCCTTCTCTTCCTCTGATAAGGACCCTTGCGGTTACCCGGCCCCCTCGGTACTCCTGCATGACCCCTCATCGCATGGTCCTGAACTCAGTCCCTTTTGCCAGGGAAGGTCACATAGCCACAGGTCCTGCGGACTAGGAGGCGGTGTCTTTGGGGACCACTAGCAACCTACCACAGGGCGATCCCCCTCTGTGACCCGGCAGGCAGCCGAGGCCACCCCACCCCTCCTGTGGCGGCATCTCCCTCAAACCTTAACCACACACATCAGCCAGCACCGCTCGCTCTGGGAGATTACGGCGCAGAAATACACATGCCAGCAGCAAAGGGGGTGCTCAAGGGCAATCTGTGCAGCCTTGTTTGTGACCAAAAGATGGGATGCATTGAAAACATTCATTAACAGAGTAAGGGCTGGACCAGCATGGCGCGTCCATACCACGGAATACCATGCGGCCGTGAGAGGGACATGGGTCTGGGCACACTGACGGCAAAGATGTCCTTGACGTAGATAAAGGGAAGCGAAGAACTGCAAAGACAAGGGCCGTAACAGAAAGCCACGCAGGAGTGACAGACGCATCTGCATATACGCTGAAAAGAAGCCTAGAAAAAAATCTAACTCCCTCTAAAGAGATGAAGAGGTCCTGACGGGACGTGGGTACTTTACACCAGTCTAACCGTTTGATATTTTTACCAGGATATGCCATTTTCATAATGAATAATATTTTTTGATAAACCCAAACCTTCCCCATCCTGTACGCTCAGATCCTCAGGGTGTTAAGATGGAAAGACGCCCAGTCAGAGACCCTTCCCGGGGACCTGGCAGATGGCCCACTCTCTGCCTGGACCCCATGCCCCCAGGGGCCCTGGAGCGGCCTGGTGGGGGCCCCTGACTCACAGGCGCAGCAGAGTGAAGGCAAGCGGGACCCTGAGCTGGCTGTGCGGGCACGGGCCCAGGGCCGGGCATTCAGCAGGTGCTCAAATGTGCCGGGCGTCTGGAAGCCCCGCCTGGAGGAGGCCACACCTGAGGCTCTAGACCCCGAGTCCCTCCAGTCCCGGGAGCACCACTGTGCTTAGAGAGCATTTCAAGGCCAGCCAGCACCCCCACATTCACGGTCAGGGGTCCCAGGATCTGGTCCTGCCTGAGCCGCCGGCTAGCTCTGGCTGGGTGCTGCCCCCGCGGCCACACAGCACACAGGCTCACTCTCCCAGCGGAGGCAGGGATGAGCCCCCCATTCTGAGCGCTCAGATCGATCGGCCATGTCTGCCACGCCGTGGGCCAGAGGAACGGCCAACCTGCCAGGAAGATGCCTGGACAGGGTTCCTTCCTGGCTCCACCTGCCCGCGATTCTGCTCACTCACAAAGCAGCACCAGGCATGGGTGGCGGGCAGCACGGGGTCTGCTGCCACAGCCCTGGGGCTGCTATGGCTGCCCAGGGGGCCTCCGCCCTCAGGAGCAGGCACCTCCCCCTCACTCACCCCACTCTGTGGTCACTCCTGGGAAGCAATGTGGGCTCCCAGTTCCAGGCGAACAGTTTAGTGCCACACCAAGAAGTGGGGGTGGGGACGCATAGCAACGTCCTTTTCCCTGTGTTCTGAAACCTGCCCACTTCCCAGCCCACCCCCAGACATGGTCAACCTAAATGCAAATTCAGGAGCAAACCTGTGCCCCTGCAGGGGTCTGGGGGGCGGAGGTGTTGAGCGCTGAGTTCCCATCCTCGCCTCTGAGCGCCCGCACGCCCTGCACTGTACGTAGCATCGCATGGACACCGTCTCACATAAGCCCCACCATGCAGGGCCCCAGGGCAAGTCTACTCCCACTACCCTCTGCAGAGTCAGTGACCTTCTCCAGGCCACATGATGAACCATGGTGTCAGGACTTGGACCACGCTGGGTGGCAGCCCGGGGGCCGGGCCACCAGACCGACCCATGGGCACATGCAGCCTCTCCCATGAACCGGGCCTGGGAGCGTCCACCCTGCACCCTTGAGAACCTGTAGGCGCCAAGGAGCAAGAAGGGCTCCACATCCCCTCAGAAAGGATGACACGGCTGTGGACGTCCCGCTCCTGGTGACCTCGGCCCGGCCGCAAGACAGCCACAGCCACCGCCAGGCCTCTGGCGCTGGCCCCCAGGTGACCTGCCGGTGACCCTGGTAAGGAAAGAAAGTGGGGCCTGAGCAGGGCACACATTTGTTCATGCAAAGTATAGTGCAGACTCCACCCCGTTGGGCCGCGCACACTGTCCTCGCACCGGGTGGCGAGCCAGAGCTCAAAACCCCGGGCCTGGTGGCGTTTATGTCCCTGGATGCAAGGCGGCCCGCGACAAATACACCACCTCCTCTCAGCTCATTTTACTGCTTTGCGAATCCCTTGATATCTCCTCACAGGACCGTTTTTGAGGTGGCAGAGGGGTCCCAGAGCAGACACCACTTGGGTCCCTCGTGACTTGGGGGGTCTGTAGGGTAGGAGCGGTCATCAGTTTCACACAGGCCAGAACCCGCCCTCCCTTGCCCTCAGCAGGCATGGCTAGCCTGCCACAGCCCTGGGGCCTCCCCTCCCTAGGGGACCCCTCCTCTCGTCCCTGGGGGCCTCCCCTCCCCCGGGGTCCCCCAAGAGGTGGAAGAACCAGCGTTCCAGGAGCTCCCGGGCAATGCAGGCTCCAGGCCCACCCGGATCTGCCGAGCAGCAGGCCTGGGGCAGGGCCCAGCCTTCAGCACCTCACAGGCCTCCAGGGCTGCCGATGACACTAGGATCACCAGGAGAACTCCGAAGGGCTCCGAAGCCCAAACTTGGGTGGGAAGCTTCCATGTCTTATAGCGGCCAGGGGACTGATCCCTGCGGGGCTGGGAACGGGGGCAGGCCTTCCCCCGACCCCCCGAGTGTGAGCCCTCCCAGCTGCGTGGCGGTTAGCTCTGGGCCTGGGTCTGCCCTGTGAAGCAGAGATACGGGACACAAACTGTGCGACCCCGCCCTGTGTTCCAGGAAAGCCTGAGTCCCCCTGCCCTCCAGGCAGCGGTGCCCCAGAGCCGCCCTCTGAAGGTCCTGGGCACTCTGACGAGGACCCACCACACCGCCTCTCATCAACTCAGCTCAGCAGCCCGCAGCCAGCCCAGACCCCAGGACAGGGTGGAGCCTCTGCCCGCAGCCCCGCACTCCCCCACCGCCGGGTCCTCTCCTGGCTGCGACCGACTGGAGCCCACCCGGGGCCGGCTGCTCTGCACCCCACATGGCTGCTGTGGCAGCTTCCACGCTCCAGCGGAGGGTGGGCCTCAGGGTTTCTGGGGCGCCCGCCCAGACATTCCTCTGCGGGCTGAGCCCTTGAGGACAACAGCCTCTGCTCCTTCTTTCTAAAATCAAATGCACTGGGAAGAATGCAGGAGGGCAGTTCTGCAAGGCCTGGAACAGAGGCCCACCCTGTCCCCACGGGCGACTGAGGACACTGCCCACCCTCGCCCCCTCCGCAGGGCGACACACCCACTGCCCCACAGGGGCACAGGGTGATGGGGGGTGGGGGCACTGGCCGAGGCACGCACCTGCACGCCCAGGTCAAGACCACCAGACATAACACAGAAGGTAAAAAATGAACAACGGGCAGGTGGGAAACACGACGACTCACCGAGGAGTCTGGTGACGGATGGGAACAGAGCGAAGCCGCTTCTTTTATGCTCTACTGCCCAGCTTTCCCGCGCGGAGCAAGCATTACATTTGTAATGGGAAAAATAACTACTGAACCTGCTCTGACCCTAAACAACCAGCGGAGGGTCATAGATGCCGCTACTGTCTATTCCCCTGCGAGAACACGCCTGGGGGAGCGGAGAGGGGCCGAGAGAGCACCTTCGGACTCAAGCGGTGATTCCATTTCCCTTCTGCGTCTTGCAGTGGATTTCATTTCCCTCTAAAACTTGGACGTGTGAGCCACGGATATCCCGCCAGCAAACCACAGCCGCTGTTTATCTTCCTGCACTGTGGGTCAAAGGTCACTGAAAACCAGACTCAAATGGGCCAAGGGTGGGAAGGCCTGAGCAGTAGGAGCTGGGAGCATTCCTGGATCAACTCCAGGCCTGCCGCTGGCTGGGAATGCAGAATCACCCAGAAAGACGCTGGGGTCTGTCCTCGTGGAAGTGTCTCCCCAGCAGGCTGAGAGGCTTCTAAGCAGTCTCCAGATCCCAGACTCTCCGGACAGGCCACCAGGGCCCTACCCTGGCCCAGGAGAGCAGGCAGATGGCAGCAAGTTCTTGGTTCGCTCAGCCAGGAGCGTGGCCACCTCGGGGGGCCTGGCTTTCAAAGGGCCACCTCCTTCTACAGGAAGCAGGCGGTGCCTGCGGTCCACAGCCTCCCACAGCCTAGCGGGGACCAGCCCCGGGCTCACACGCTGACCTCCAAGCTCCTCCCGCCCCTGCACCAACTCCAGAGACACCGCGGAATTCACCAGCGGCCGGCCCCTGCGCTTCCTGGCTGGCCGCTCTGCTGGACCTGATTCAGTATGGCCTGCACTCGGTCAGAACAGCTGTTGGCCCAGAGCACCAAGTGATAAGGGAACCCCTTGCCAGCTCCCACCACTGGTCTGTGCTGTCTCCTGGGGCCCATAGATGACCTGCACCCCAGGCTGGGGCAGCCACGGCTCTCACACTCCCCGACATCCCCGCAGCCCGCCTGGGAGGCAGCCAGTGCACCCCAGCTCTCGACCGTGGCCATCCCAACATGTTACCAGCAGGGCAGCCCGTCCGTACCACCGATTTTTCATGTTAAACTCCAGCATAGAAACCAGGCGAGAGATGCCGCTGTCTGGGGAAGGCCGTTCGGCTAGAGCCTCTGCCCACCAACCACCTCCAAGAATGCTTGAGGCAGCCCGGGTTCCACGGGGCAGCCTCTGAGAAGCCCCGGCACAGGCCTGCGTAGGGACAGCCTGACTGCCCAGCGCCCCGCCGCGCCGTGCCCCTCGCCCTCCTACCTGGAGGCTGCGATCTCCGCCTTCTGCCTGGCGATGGTGGCGGCCCGCTCGGCCGCCTCCACGGCTCGGTCCACCTTCTCGCGGACCTTGCTGGCACGCAGTGGGATGAGGTTCTTGCGCTTGCCGCTCACGAGGACGTTCTGCTTGTACTTGCCCTCCTCCTTAGTGCCGTCGGGGAAGGTCATGCAGCCGTAGCCGTGTCGCCGGTTGCCGGCCCACTCACCCTCGTACCTGAGGCCGTCCGAGCGCTGGCTCACGCCCAGCCCGGAGCGCTTGTCGCTCCTCCACTCGCCCACATAGGTCTCCGTGGTGGTGGCGTCGACGTCGTCCTCGACGGCCGGCAGCTCGGCCTCGCCCTCACCCAGGCTGATGGTGGAGTGCGCGTCGCTGGTGGCGGAGCTGAGCGTGCTCATGCCGGCCTCGCTGCGGAAGGAGCTCTGCTTGCTGCGCTGGCTGGCCAGGCTGCTCTTGGACTCGGACTTGCGCAGCTTAAGCCCGCTCAGCAGCGAGCGCCGGAACAGCCCTTTCTTCTTGCTCTTGAGGGTCTCGGAGTCACTGTGGGCTACGAGCACGAAGCCGCCCCGGGACACGGCCGGGCTGCTGGCCACCGCTGGGGACGCATCGGGGTGCAGCGCCGCGCCGTTCGTGTGCTCGCTGCGCAGAGAGTTGATGGACGTCCTCAGGGGTGAGCGGATGACCGCCGCCATGCCGTAGGGGACACTCTGCCGCACACCGTAGCCTTGGCGCATGCCGCCCACCCATTGGCCCTGGTAGGTCCCTGCGGAGACAAAGGGACAGGGGTGAGCTCCTGGGAGGGTGACCAGAGGGGCACGTGCTGTGGCTGACAGGCCCCCGCGGCCCTGCCTCGGCCAGTCCAGCAAGGCCTTCGCTGAAGCACGCAGACCATGGCATGTTTCTGCAGTTTGTATCAGCGACGGCCGCTTGGACACTCCACCTGCTTCCCACACCACGTTTCCTGCTCTCTCAGAACCCCGGGAGGCGGGGGAGCATGAGAGGCTAATGCAGGGCCAGGAGGGCAGAGTCCAGTGGACAGGAGAGCCTCCCCTGATCACGGGCAGGAGGCCCGACCCACAGACGACTGGGGAGGGACGCTGGCAGAGGAGGAAACACAGATGTGCGGTAGCTACGGGGACAGGGAGCTGGGCCATGACCGGGCACGGAAGAGGCTTCCCTGGGACCTAGGAAGCTCCCTGCTGCTGGAGGCATCCAAGAAGAGTTTGGAAGAGCACTCGGGGGGCCCCCATAAATGTGTGGGGACCCTGAGGCACTGAAATGGGCAGACCCGTCACCTCCAAAAGAGTGAAAAGCAGGGACTCAGAGAGACTCGCACGCCCTGCTCACAGCAGCACTATTCACCGCGGCCGACAGCTGGAAGCCACCCGTGTGTCCGTCGGCAGATAAACGAGTAAGCGGAACGGGACCCCGCCACGCGACGGGGCGTCACTCAGCCTTACAAAGGAAGACGGTCCTGATGCTGCCGATGGACGGGCCTCAAGGACGCCGAGCGAAGTAAGCAGGATGCAGAAGGGCAACGGCTGTGGGGTCCCCTTCCGTGAGGGGCTAGAGAGGCCAGATTCACCGAGCCGGACGGGGAGAGCCGTGCGTGCAGGGGCTGGAGGAGGGGGAGTGGGGAGTCAATCAATGACAGCTTCTGCTGGGGATGGTAGAAAAGTTTCGGAAATAGAGGTGATGGTCACACCAAATTGTGAATATAGTTCATGCTGCAGACGCTACACATCGAAGTCGTTAAAATGGCAACTTCTATGTTATCTATACCGCAATAAAATATAAAGGAGAAAAATCAGCAGAACTGGGCTCCTATTACTTTTCTCCTCATTGGCTGTGTGACTTTAGGTAAGTTCTGGAACTTTCTGACCCTCAGTTTCCTCATCCATAGAAGGAGCCTGAAATTCCTCCTGCCATAGGTCATAATTAAGTGGCCCTCAGCCCTGTGCCTGGCACTCAATAAACCTCAACCTGTGTCTTTGGTGTCAGAGCCGCCACCGGCCTTGGCCAGGCACCATTGAGGGGCTCCCACCCGGGAAGGGCTTCTCTGGGGAGAACGGAGCATCTGTCCCCCCACCCACCCGCCAGAGGCTGCGGACCAGGGGTTCGGAGGCTGAAACTCGCCACCAGACAGGCTGTATTTGTCCCGCACAGCGTTTTCATAAGAAATTGGAACTAACTGCCAACATTCCGACACTGAGATTTCACAGAAGTTCAGCTCTCTTGTCTCTCCTAAAACACTACCGGATCTGGCAAATGGAGATCTCCATTTTCAGAAGGCAAAATGGACCGGAGTCCTGCAGCAGCCGCCTCCTCTAGGCGAGGCACGCCACTCGGTTGGCCTCCTTCCCTATCACTCCCTGCCATCTCCCACCCAGGCCGGCTCCTTCGTTGACACACCCTGCGATGGAGGTAAAGTCCAAACTAGGCGTGGCATCCGAAGCTTTGCACTGTGGCCCAAATGATCTGTCACCACCACTCGGCACTGCCGTCACCCACAGCTCCCGAGTCAGAATGGATCCTGCCCCCCTATGGGCTCTCCTGTCCCTGAGACCTCGTCCATGCATCCCAGCTGGCACCCCTCCTCAGTAACACCTCGGGGCCCCAGCACTGGGTGGCCTCAGGAGACAGCCCTGATTCTCCCATGTTTGCAGAACCATAGGACAGACTCCCCAGAGGAAGTGGACTTGTGCTCTAAACACCACATTCTCTGCAAGACACACTCCCACCCTGGCAGAGAAGAGATGGACAAGAGGCTGGGATTTGGGGGCTCAGGACTAACACCCCAAGAGCCTTTGCACAGACAGCAGCCTGTCCACTTCACACGCGACCTACCACACGTAGGTGCTCATCAGCAGAGCCCGAGGTGGTGTCCTTGGGGGCGGGGGAGGGAGGGTGGGTCAGAACCGAGGAGCTGACAGTCTCGGCTGGACACCTGCTTCGGCCTGACCCTGCAGTGGACACCACCGAATCCACCCCACCCCGCGGTGGGGCATCAGGCATCTCCGCCCCCATGCTGCTCTGTCGTCTGTCCCCCAAGGCCGCGGTGGGGGTGGCAGCTCTAGGTCCCCACCATCTACACTGGAAGATCTGACCCCGGGAGGGCTGAGCAGTGAGGGGCCCCCTCTCCATCTCCCACCGAGAGATTTCCTGCCCCAGGATGTAGCTGCCTGAGCCAGGTGGTGTGGGTCTTAGCCTTGTGCCCACAGCACCCCTCCCGGAGTCAACCAACCTGGCTGTGACGGGCACAGCAATGGAGGGCGGGGCCCTTGACTGCTCCCAGCATCCCAGGATGGTCCACACAGGGTGAACACCAGCAGGGGCTTGTGGATAGGACCCTGGGACCAGGCTGGGAGGTCAAGGGGGCTCCTCCCCGCTGGGGTGTGGGGTGGCCTGGGGGAAGTGGGCCCTTTAAGGAGGCCACACCTGCCACGGGGACAGCAGCCTTGCAGTGAGTGGTGCCTAGCCTCAGGCAGGCGGAGCCCGGAGTGTGTGCACTGGCAGCCAGGTGGCCGAGTCTAGGCCCCAGCCTTGCCATCGAACCACGACCCAGGGGCCTCACTTCATGTCTCAGACCTCGGTTTATCCACCTGTGAACTGGGTGTGATGAATGAACTGCCAGCTAGCTTCCAATATGGTAATGGGCACACAGCCCAGCGCCCGCCTGCCGGCAGTGCCGCTCACAGCCCTCCTCGCCCAGACTCTGCGGTCTTGTTTCCATAATCAGCAGGTCTGAGCAGACGTCTGGCAAGGAAAAGCAGCCTTCCTAAACCTCACCTGTAAAACGCCAGCCAGAGTGGTCAGACTTGCAAATTGAGTGACCAGACCACCAGCAGCATCAGTGACCCCTGCCCGGGATATTAACCCCGCATTTTGCCCCTGCCAGGCAGGGTCACCCCAGTCATCTGCATTCCTAGCGAGCTCCCAGGTGAGGCTGACTCCATGCCCAGGGGACCCCACTCCGGCCCAGAGCTGGCCTGGGGCCTGGTATGCTGTGGTACCAGCACTGTCTGCTCAGGAAACCACCCCACCCGAATCCGAAAGCCAGGCTCCTGGCCATGCCACACGGCCCATGAACTTCCAGGCTCAGCCCTCAGCCTCTGGCACTCTGAGCTGTGTAGATGAGCTGAGTTATAGGTATCTTGTAAGGGCCCCATACAGCCTGCACACTTTTATTTTCCCTCCGAAGCCCCTGCCCATTGGCTGAAGTCCCAAAGCCCATGTTGCAGAGCCCAGAGAACCTGCCTGGTGGGAAACACGGCCCCCACCTCACACCAGCCCCCAGGGCCAGGACGGCATTGGCCGAGATGCCTGACCAGGGCACAGGCCCCCAGAGGGCTCCTCATAGCACCCCTGGGCGGAGCACAGAGCTCACTGCAGACAGGGCCCCTGGCCCAGGAGAGAGTGCCCTTACCCGTAGCCCTGGACAGTGAGGGGTGGCAGGAAGACCCCAACCAAGGGAGCTGCTGGGCATCCCAGAGTCCAAGGAATTTGGACGGGGAGATGTGCTGAGAGGTCAGGGCTCATTGTGCCCACTTATCAGACCAGGAGACTGAGGCTCAGGGGGAAAGCTGCCCAATGTCATCTCCAGAGCAGGATTTGAACCCAGACTGACTTGGTAGCAAAGCCCGCCTAGAGGGTCTCAGACCAGGAGGGTCTTGGGCCAGGAGGGTCTCAGGCCAGGAGAGTCCCAGACCAGGAGGGTCTCGGGCCAGGAGGGTCTTGGGCCTGGGGAGTCTTAGACCAGGAGGGTCTCGGGCCAGGCAGTGACTGAAACACCCCTTCTCTTGACCCACACGCTGCCCACTTCTCCCAGGCAGCAATGCCACAGCCCCAAACCCATCTTCTCCAGCCCAGGAACCTCCTACCTTACCTGGACTGGACCTCGACACGCTCGGCCTGGCGTGCCTCCTGTAGGGTCCCCTCCCTCTGGAGCCCCTGCCCCTCCCGTCCAGGTGGCTGGACCTGGTGAGGTCCTGGGATGTGGCCACTCACATTCTCTCACTGGGACCCTAACAGGGAATGCGATTGGATGCCAGGCATGGGGGTGAGAGCCCATGTGACTACCACCCCCCCAGAGATGCTGGGAAAGAAACGGGCCTCAGAGAGAAGTGGCCGGGCTCTCGCCCCTCAGAGCAAGAGGGAGGCAGCTACCCCTCCTGGTCCCGGCTCCCCGAGACACTCCACACCTTCCAGGGAGCCACTGTCACTGGAGCCACTCTGAGCAAGTTTGTGCCCTGGACCCAAACGCTAGCTGCCTGACACCCCAGCACGGACCCCTGTCCTAGGGGTCTGCGCCTCTGTGTGCCTCTGTGATCCCTTGCAGCCACGGGCGAGCGTCAGGCTTGGCTGTGAGACCCGTGTTGTACGGGCATCACCCTGTGAGCATGGCAGACGGTTCACAAAGCTCCAGCCTGTCTTTCCCCGGGTGGACAGAACACCCTGCCCCCCACCTTCCTATCTTGTCTGCAGCCGGCCTTTGCACCCGGAGCAGGGCACACACAGGCCCCTCCATTCCTAGGTGGCCCAGTGCCAGCCCAGGCCCCGGGTGGCGGGCAGAGGGGCAGGTGCACCAAGGAAGTGGCCTCCCCAGAGATTCCGGGAACAAGTGGCAGAATACACCTCATCCAGAGTTAAAATGACCACACAGCCATCCCGCAGCACAAAGGCGAACCCCAGTCTCCCAGCCTGGCAGGATGCTGAGGTGGCCAGCGAGGAAGCCAGCGCCACCTGGATGTCCCTTAAGATGGG